AAAGAAACGAAAAAGAAACATGGCGAGGGAGATATAGGGACGGCACAGTTTTTCTTTTCCCCTTGCTGTTTATTATTTTGATTTTCTTTTCCATTTCATCTATCTCTTTTTCTTTTTCATGTCATTTTTATTTGGTGTCATCCTGGATGACAGTTGGGCACGCACTGTCATCGCTGTCGAGCCTCTTTTTTTCGTCGTCCTTCCACGTTCATTCCTTACTGTGCTTCGGGCCTTCTCTTTCTCATGCTGCCGCGCAAACCCGCCACTCCCGTAGGAGTTTGTTACAACTGCCACTCTGTATCCACGAATGAAAAGGGGCGCAATGGGTGCCCAGCAGGGAACTTGACGGAGAGGAAATGCAAGACATTGTAGAGCGGAGGAGAAAAGAAAACACAAGCGTGGAAAACGCGAGGAGGGTAAAAGTACAAGCAACGAAAACGGAGAGAAGTAATATCAATGGCGTGAAGTGGTTATGTGTGTTGATGTAAAGTTGCTGTCACCGTAATGGCGAGGGTGGAGGTGGTCGCGGGGATGTCCTCTACAATGAGTGTCCAAAAAAGTGCTGTTCTTTGACTTTCCCTTGTAAGGTTTTTGCTCTTGTTTTAGTTTTTGGATTGCTTCCGTGCGTGTGTATGTGTGTATGTGTGTTGTTGTTGTTGTTGTTTTTCTTTTTGATTGCGGTGATTCCTTTGCGTCCACCGCCACCTTTGCGTATCCATCATTTCCCACCCCGCCCCACCTCCCGCCATACACAGGGATGGAAAGAGAGACTCGTTGGTTGCGGTTTTTTTTCTTTCGTTCTTTTCGGTGTTACCCCCTGAGCGCTCCTGTGTGACGTTTTCACCGTTTTTTACGACTTCCGTTGTTTAGGTTTTGGGTTTTAGCCAGTCTGACTATTCCGTCCTCATTTAAGCGATATATATACATATATATATATATATATATGTATTTATTTATTTATAGAAAAAATTTTATGGGTGTATTTCTGTTTTTTGCTTGACGCTTTTCCATTTCCTTGTTTACATATTCTCTCCTTTCCTTTTTCCAACATGCTGCGGCCAAAGTCTGCGGTCTGTGCTTCTGGAACGGGGAGATTGGGGCTTGGTGGGGGGGCATGATATAGTGGGATTGGTATTGTGGCGTGGTGGGCGGGGGAGGGGTTGAGGTGAAAAGAAGTGAACTCAAGTTGTATTGGGGTTTCCTACGTCCGTGCTTGTTGGTGTTGCTGGACAGTTGGGGAAAAGAGCGGAGTTGCGTGTGTGTGTCTGATGGAAAGGGGCGATGCGTAAGGAAATGGTCTCTGGGAGATGGTTAGATATATATATATATATATAGTGAGAGAGAGAGAGAGTGAGAGAGGGAGCTGATTTCTGAGACGCGGGTGACCTTGTGCCACAGGCACTTCTTTGTTCTCTTGTCATCGTCCCAGGGAGATGTCGCTACACTTATCTCGATTGCTGATGTACTTTCATTTGCCTCTATGGGTGTCGTCTTCTGTTTATATGCGCAAATGCACACCGATGTACTTCTTGAGGACCCACTTTTTTTCCCCCCTCCTCTCCCCCCCTTA